CTAAACAGACTGATGGCACTAGGTCACCGAGTACTTTGTTCATGAGACGTTGAAATGTTGCTGGTGCGTTGCACAGTCCGAACGGCATACGATTCCAGTGATACAGGCCGCTGGGTGTGACAAAGGCCGACTTCACCTTGGATGCGTTGTCTAGTTCGACTTGCCAGTAGCCTGATGAGAGGTCAATTGTTGAGAAGTAGCGCGCCCCATGTACTGCATCAAGTGCATCATCGACTCTTGGCAGGGGGAATGCATCCTTAGTCGTGATGGAGTTCAAGCGCCGATAGTCCACACAAAGGCGGATTGACTTATCAGGCTTGCGCACGATGACGATGGGGGCAGCCCATGGGCTGCTGGATGGCCCAATGATGTTGTTGTCTAGGAGCTCCTGTACGTGCTCCTGTACTTCATCTTTCTGATGTAGGGGAATGCGTCTCGGTGGTTGCTTGAGTGGTTGCTCTGTTGTGGTATTGATGGTGTGAGGGACTGCTGACGATAGACCCAGGTCAAACTTCCCCGTAGAAATAACATCAGCGTTGTCATTCAGCAAATTGGTTAGTTGAGACCGTTCGGCGTCTGAAATGTGATCCAGATGGAATAGGTCACTCGGGCTGTGAGGTGTGGCGCTGTCAACGGTTGCACATGAAAAGTCATCCTCTGTCCCAGTAGCTGTGACAGGTAACTCATCATCTACAGTGACGTCAACCTCAAATGTGCCGAGGAGAGTGCCCTTGCGAACTGTTGTTGGTCTCGGTCGAAAGTTCTGCAGTCGAATGGGTACACGACCATGTAGATCCGGGGAAGCTATTACACCTGCCATGCCGAGGCTGTATGTGTCCAAGAATTTGTCAGATGGATTCAGCCACCCAACTTCCGTTGGTGCCTCTGACGCCGATTGCAGGTGTCCAGGAACGATCAGTTGCGTGTAGCTAGGTATAGTTACTGACTCTTGGAGCGACACACGATACACTGGAGCTGCTGATTTGCGGGCTGAGGAGCACAATGGAACTGACACGCCGCCGGCGCCAATGCTCCTGGTTGCAAAATCAATGGTACACTCCGTGCTCTTGAGAAAGTCCAGTCCCAGCAGAACATCTGGGCCAATGTCAGCTACCATGACATTGTGTGTCGTGACAATGCCACCAATCCGGAATGGGAGTTTGGTCTCCCCATAGATCTTCAGCAAAGATCCATCTACAGACCGGAGGGTGCATGTTGTTGGATGTAACGGATAATTATTCGATTCGATAGATTGGTAAAAGTTATGATTGATGATGGTCACTGCACTTCCGGTGTCCACCAACATACGTTTAGGCTGCGAGCACACAGACCCATTCACATAACTGGAGCCCTCTACCTCTGCCGTGAGGCAGCTCTCAGGAATGTGCACTGTATGGTCTGCTGACCCGTCGGGACGGAACTCCGGTGATGCAGACTGATCAAATGGGTCTTGTAGTACAGCTGTGGATTGACCCACATCTACAGCTATTGGCGGTTTCCCGACTGGTTGAAGCGGCTCCCAGACTGTGGACGGCGGTCATTATGCGGGCAATCTCTTGCCAAGTGCAGAACACTCTCACAGACATAACAGCGGCGGCGTCCACCTTGCGGAGCCTGAAATGCTGGTGTGGCTGTCTGGGTGTTGTCCAGCCTCGCCTCCAGCTGGTCCAGTCGCTTGCACAGCCGGTCGATGTTAGCTGAGAACTGGGGTGTCTGCACAGCACATACTTCTGCTACTACTTGCGGTGCATTGGAAGCTGATTCGGTGCTCTGAATGGCCTGCATCTGGAAGGCACACTGGAGCGCTGCATCCAATGTTGCCGGGTTTTGTTTGCGCACTTCTACTCGCAGTTCACGGCTATCCAGGCCAGTCATAAACTGGTCCTTGGCAAGGATGTCCTGGACATCCGGGGGAAGTGTCGAGTACCCCAGACGGGCAATGCGGCGAATTGCCTCGCAGTACTCAGAAATTGGTTCTCCAGATTTCTGTCGTCGAGACCTCAGCTCAGCACGATGTATCTCCACGTTCTGGGCAGCTCCAAACCGCTGTTCCAGTAACTGCAGGAGCGGGTCCAAAGGACCATGCCGTACAGCTTGGTCTAGACCATGAAAATACGACAATGCATCGTCTGTCAGGTACAGGCCAATGTAGTCCGCCTGCTGTCGCCGTGTCCAGCCATTTACACGGGCCACTGTCTGAAACTGGAGTAGCCATGTCCTCCAATCGCTGTCACGGTTACCAGAAAATTTCTGGGGAGTAGCCCAAGCACGAACAGGGACACCAGCTGCCCGGTTTCCCACACCACCTGCTGCAGCTGGCATTGGTGGTGGTGGAGGTGGAGGTACTACTGCTGCAGCTGCTTGTGCCTGAGCACCACGAGCACCACGATGAGCCATTATGCTATACTGCTCTGTGACTGATTTTCGAAATTTTATTTATTTTTCAGCCACTTCCAAATTCGAAAGAGCCTGACAAAACTACTTTACCGCTGCCACCAGATGTAACCTGCTTGCTTGCAGGATTACTAAGGATTATTTATTTCCACAGAAGTCAAAGAAAAGAATTACAATTCACTCCAGAAGCAAAGACAAAATCCCACAAGTAAAAGGAAACTTCGTCTCTCTCAAAATCAACATCCTCTCTCTCAGTGCGCATGCTCATAGACTCAAGAAAAAAAGAGATAAACAGAAAAAAAGTACATTGCGAGATTTGAACCCAAAAATGCAGAACCCAAAACCTGCAACGAACGTATGTAGCTAATAAGGCATATAAATGAAACTGCGCATCATATGGATATAAACATGAGATTGCAGACAGCCATACATGTTACACTTGCGTGGGGTAGTGCCTTTGCTGTTTGCGTTATGCAGAGCTCACTGACTTGTCAGTTTGAGCACTCTGGCAAGGTACGTTCGGGCCTGATTGGAAATTTTTATTTCCATTGCTATCAGGTTCGGCCTCATTTCCTCTGTGCTGCGCTGATGAGTTCAAAAAGAACGAAACAGCATGCTGTCCGCAGATTGAGTGCTTGAGGGTTACATGAAACTTGGCTAGTTGAAATACAGTCAACTTTGCGTATAACCACACTCGGCGAAGTGTCGTTATACCCGAAGTCCCATTATATGACGTACAGTTGGATGGGACTTTGCTCTGGGCATGGAAATTCTGTCGTTATTCGCGAATTGTCGTTATATCCGCAGTCGTTATTTACGAAGTTGACTGTAAGCCTACCTTGCTCCACAGTTCTGCAGTCTACCATCGGAGGAATCCTGATATTCGTAACGCCGAATAAGCGACAGGAGGAACGCCTAAAAAGCCGCTCACAAATCGTGCGCTAGAAAACAATTCACTTTACAAATCGACAACTTGCCCGTGTTGTACCCTTCTTGGCTCCGCTGTGTTCTTCTGGCGCGCTTGCATTCAATGGAACAGAATATCCAGAGTGGATTATTATGCTGGCTACTTGACCAGGCAAAGTGAAATGGTGTCAAGCGTTGCACCATCTCAGCTCGAATTGACTCGAGAAGAGATGCTGTCATGAGCAGTAAAGTGCTGTAGGAGTGCCAATCCTGGCCCGGCAGCACACGAAAACAATTTGAGTTGTAATGCGATAATACGATAATTTCTACAACCTTGATGACCTAGGCAAAAAAAGCATAGCGATGTTATAATTTTTTTCTCATTAGAACTTCTCATGTCAAAAAAGGCTTTGAGCGATCTGGCATGATTTTTTTGAAGTACAGTTGTGGCAAGTGAAATCTGACACTTGCCATAGGGAACAGCGCCACAAATGGACCTCAATGATGTAATGCACTGCACCAAATTTGTACTATAGAGCCGTATGCATCCTAAACAGATCGAAAGGTCACAGCATAGATACACACAGTTCACTAACATAGTACACATAAGGAGTATTGGTATCCAATCCCCATTCATTTTGCCAGCACCTTTTGAACCTTGACTGTGATGAGTACGAGTTTTGTCATCAGACAGATAAAGTTGTATGTAACACATGTACTGTATGTACCCAGGGCTGCAGGGGCTGCAGACTGCATGGTGCAGTCCCTTATGCCAAGTGTCGGATTTCACTTGCCACAACTGTAGCAGATAATTTGAGTTAGACGCTCGTAATGGTGGGTTTAGACCGCCAAATTGCGCTGTGACGCTAGTCATCTGGATCTACTGATGAATTGCTGGCTATTGCTGTGTTCCTCTGGCCAGAAGCTTTTTGAGACCGCCACATTCTATCATAGCATGTAGTTGCGAATCAAAGAGGAGGGGGTGAGAGCAAACCATGGCTGACGAACGTAAAGAAATACACAAGAGAGAGTGGAAGTGGTGTCGTTTCACGTATTCCTACTATCATCAGGCAAACGTAAAGAAAAATGAATCTATAATATGTACCTTCACAGTCAGTTCCATTACTGCGAAACGCTGGTGGGCATGTACACTGGTATGATCGTTGTGTGCTTACACACATTGCCATTCCAGTGCATTTATGAATGTTCAAGTTACATTCATCTGCATCTGTTCAAATACAAATACAAAATACAAGTTCAATCCTTGATTGTTCCACAGTTGAGGGTGTTGAAAAGGTTGAAAAGTCTGAAGAAGAAAAGAACAATTGACGGTCACTAACATCAGTCGAACCGGAGACCTTCCAGCAATAGTGTACCCGTCATCCCAGTAGAGACCTTCCAGCAATAGTGGACCTGTCATCCCAGTAGAGACCTTTTCAACCTTACTACAGTCAGACCTCGTTTATCCGGTCCTCTTTTATCTGGATCCATCGGCATCCAGGAGAAAATCGCTTGGTTACCAATTAACAGTATATGCCATGCATACATACAGTATGTGTGTTCGATTATCTGGTTCCCTCGCCTATCCGGATATTTTTGTGGACAATGGACGTGTGCGGTTATGCGGGGTCTGACTGTACTACCGTCAGACGTTGAGTAACACAATTCACAGATTTGGTATAGGAAACCGCGGCACAGCACTACTTCACAGTCACTGCACTTTCATTCTTACATCAAGAAAAACAAAACAAAAAAACAATTCCTTACACAACGTGCAATGCACAAAATGCATGTATATATATATATATATAGAGAGATGTAGGCGAACAAAATTTATATACACACAACAACAAGGTTGTCAATTTCATAATACTAAAAGCTTTTCACCCATTTTCATCAGTAGTTACATGGGAATGAGCAAGAACGAAAACGAAGCCAGAATTTATACTGGGGGTAGAGAATCAGCAAGAATATTCTTACGCGCCTCAAGTTCACACTACACTACCATAAGAATGTATGGAGCAGTGGAAAAATGCGGGAAACAACACATGAGGGGAATGCAGTACCAGAACAAACACGTGATAAAGTTGTCAGTCCGGTTGCAGCTTGAACAGCCGTAGCACCTTGATGTGCTTCTTTTGTCGACACAGCTCTGGCCTCAAACTGCGAATGTACAGCGCCTCCAGTGTGAATCTGTGCGCGCTGTTCCGGGCTGGTGTGATCACACTGAAGCTGCTGTTGCGTTCCTGCGGGATGCATTCAGGTTGCGCCTGCAAATGCTTTGTGATGGCGCTATCACTTGTTGCCACACGTTTGTCAGGCGGCTTCTTGTACAGCTTGTCTGGGATATGCTGCTTGATCCTTTCCGAGAATCGCTGACATGTCTCACCAACGTACGTCCGCTCACAGCGACACGCATACTTATAAATAAAATTACTGTTTTCAAGAGTTGGTGAAACATCCTTCGCGATAGACCTGAATGCGGGTCTGGTTGTTTAAATTACAATGGGGGATACTGTAGGATAGCAGTTCAAAATTGCAGCTTTAATCTTTTTGCGGAAGGCAATGGAATTTTGCCCTTTCCACGGCAATTTTGTGATAATACGCGTAGCAGATTCAAGTTGAGCAGAAGCTGTATCTGGGCTAGGTTCAAGAACGCTTGTCATGACTCGCTTGAGTACTTTGAGTGGGTAACCGTTAGAACACAGAATATCCTCTAGCTTAGCAATTTCAGCTGATAATAGTGATGGTGAGCAGATGTTTTTAGCTCTGAAAGTTAATGATCTGATCAAATTGATTTTGTTTCTAGTGTCACAAAACGAGTCCCAGCGGGTGTAAAGACCTGTGAACGTCGGCTTTCTATATACTGTGGTGAGCAATTCTGTGGAAGAATGCTTAATCAATACATCAAGAAACGGCAATTCTCCATTATTCTCCTCCTCCATTGTAAACTGGAGAGCTGGGTGAAGATTATTTAAACGCTCAGAGAATTCCAATGCCAGTTTCCGGTTGTGAAATGCTGCGAATGTGTCATCCACATAACGCCTATAGAATTGGGGCCAATGACTGTCTGGAATTGTGTTCTCAAAATATCCAACAAAGATATTGGCTAGCACGGGGCCCAAGGGTGAACCCATGGCTACTCCGTCCCTCTGTGCGTACATATTGCCATTGAAACTGAACTGCACGTCTGATGTGGCTTTGAAAAGCAGCTTCTTGAAAAGATCTTGGGGTATTTGCGGGGCTGATATTTCATCATCATGGTATAGCGACTGTATGCAGATATCTATTGTTTCCTTGAGAGGCACGTTTGTAAAGAGGCTGACGACATCGAAAGAGCACAGGAACAGCGATCCAGAGTTCTCTGCCTGCTGCTGGCCAAATTCCTTTACGTCATCCACGAACTCGAAAGTATCCTCAGTTGCGTGGGCGGAATATTTAATCAGGACTGGCTTTAGTAATTCAGCTAGCCACTTGGCCATTTCGTGTTGGGGAGCATTGATCATGGACAGGATTGGTCTAAGTGGCACGTCTTTCTTATGTATTTTCGGTACGCCATAGAGCACAGGTCGGCACGAGCCAACGGGTCGGATCCGGTCGTAATCTATATTGAGTATTTTACCAGCCTTTTTGTATCGCAATAGGTATGCCTGCAAGGCGCGTTCATCCAGGTAAGTGCGGTCATGCGTTTCCGTCGGTCCCAAGAGTTGAAACTTCGATGCATCAGCCAGAATAGCATTCATCTTGTCATTGTAATCACTTCGCTGCATTATCACCACTCCATTCCCTTTGTCCGGCCTGCTGATTATTATATCTTTGTCGTTCTTTATTTTCCTGATGGCTGCCATATGCTTGTCGTTGAGGGGATAATCGGCTTTATCTGCTTTACTGTTACTAAACTCCTCTGCAAGATTCGCCAACGCTGCTTGGCACGTATCCCTCTTGGCATCACTCACTGGTACGCAGCGCTCCAGTTGATCATTTGTTAGTTCGAATTCTGCCTGCACAATCTCCTTGTCCATTCTGGAACTAGGGGGGACTCCAAACTTCAAGCCCCTGCACAGTACGTCTTTTTCAATATTAGTTAGCATAACTCCGGCCAAGTTGAGTAGGTGGGAGTGTTTCAATTCGCTTGAGCCCTTCTCATAGCGCACCTCCCTCCTGAGTGCATCTTCCAACTTACTTTTGATCCGGCATTGTAATCTTGAGGAGGTCTGGTTGATGAGCTTCGCGAATCTGAAGCGGTCCAGCACGCTGAGGCTCCGATTGACTTCGTGAAGAACACGACGGTACTCAAGGAGAAAATGTTCCAAGTCAGCGGTTGTCCTCTCCAGTTCGTCCTTGATAAAGGCGCGTTCGATTCTCCATGGCTTCTTGGCCTTGACTCTCTGCACCCGCTTCTTGATCGAGCGGGGCGCAACGCCGCACGTAAGGCAGTTCCGTAAAAAGTCTGCATTCTCACGACTACGGATGATCCGGCCTTTGCACTTTAAAACATAATTCAGGTCCTGAATTAGTCGGTGGTCCAGTCGCCGTTTTAAATATTTAAATAGAGATGTAGGCGAACAAAATTTATATACACACAACAACAAGGTTGTCAATTTCATAATACTAAAAGCTTTTCACCCATTTTCATCAGTAGTTACATGGGAATGAGCAAGAACGAAAACGAAGCCAGAATTTATACTGGGGGTAGAGAATCAGCAAGAATATTCTTACGCGCCTCAAGTTCACACTACACTACCATAAGAATGTATGGAGCAGTGGAAAAATGCGGGAAACAACACATGAGGGGAATGCAGTACCAGAACAAACACGTGATAAAGTTGTCAGTCCGGTTGCAGCTTGAACAGCCGTAGCACCTTGATGTGCTTCTTTTGTCGACACAGCTCTGGCCTCAAACTGCGAATGTACAGCGCCTCCAGTGTGAATCTGTGCGCGCTGTTCCGGGCTGGTGTGATCACACTGAAGCTGCTGTTGCGTTCCTGCGGGATGCATTCAGGTTGCGCCTGCAAATGCTTTGTGATGGCGCTATCACTTGTTGCCACACGTTTGTCAGGCGGCTTCTTGTACAGCTTGTCTGGGATATGCTGCTTGATCCTTTCCGAGAATCGCTGACATGTCTCACCAACGTACGTCCGCTCACAGCGACACGCATACTTATAAATAAAATTACTGTTTTCAAGAGTTGGTGAAACATCCTTCGCGATAGACCTGAATGCGGGTCTGGTTGTATAAATTACAATGGGGGATACTGTAGGATAGCAGTTCTTATGGTAGTGTAGTGTGAACTTGAGGCGCGTAAGAATATTCTTGCTGATTCTCTACCCCCAGTATAAATTCTGGCTTCGTTTTCGTTCTTGCTCATTCCCATGTAACTACTGATGAAAATGGGTGAAAAGCTTTTAGTATTATGAAATTGACAACCTTGTTGTTGTGTGTATATATATATATATATATATATATTTAAATAGAGAGGTAGGCGAACAAATTTATATACACACAACAACAAGGTTGTCAGTTTCATAACACTAAAAGCTTTTCACCCATTTTCATCAGTAGGTACATGGGAATGAGCAACAACGAAAACGAAGCCAGAATTTATACTGGGGGTAGAGAATCAGCAAGAATATTCTTACGCGCCTCAAGTTCACACTACACTACCATAAGAATGTATGGAGCAGTGGAAAATGCGGGAAACAACACATGAAGGGAATGCAGTACCAGAACAAACACGTGATAAAGTTGTCAGTCCGGTTGCAGCTTGAACAGCCGCAGCACCTTGATGTGCTTCTTTTGTCGACACAGCTCTGGCCTCAAACTGCGAATGTACAGCGCCTCCAGTGTGAATCTGTGCGCGCTGTTCCGGGCTGGTGTGATCACACTGAAGCTGCTGTTGCGTTCCTGCGGGATGCACTCAGGTTGCGCCTGCAAATGCTTTGTGATGGCGCTATCACTTGTCGCCACACGTTTGTCAGGCGGCTTCTTGTACAGCTTGTCTGGGATATGCTGCTTGATCCTTTCCGAGAATCGCTGACATGTCTCACCAACGTACGTCCGCTCACAGCGACACGCATACTTATAAATAAAATTACTATTTTCAAGAGTTGGTGAAACATCCTTCGCGATAGACCTGAATGCGGGCCTGGTTGTATAAATTACAATGGGGGATACTGTAGGATAGCAGTTCAAAATTGCAGCTTTAATCTTTTTGCGGAAGGCAATGCAATTTTGCCCTTTCCACGGCAATTTTGTGATAATACGCGTTGCAGGTTCAAGTTGTGCAGAAGCTGTATCTGGGCTAGGTTCAAGAACGCTTGTCATGACTCGCTTAAGTACTTTGAGTGGGTAACCGTTAGAACACAGAATATCCTCTAGCTTAGCAATTTCAGCTGATAATAGTGATGGTGAGCAGATGGTTTTAGCTCTGAAAGTTAATGATCTGATCAAATTGATTTTGTTTCTAGCGTCACAAAACGAGTCCCAGCGGGTGTAAAGACCTGTGAACGTCGGCTTTCTATATACTGTGGTGAGCAATTCTGTGGAAGAATGCTTAATCAATACATCAAGAAACGGCAATTCTCCATTATTCTCCTCCTCCATTGAAAACTGGAGAGCTGGGTGAAGATTATTTAAACGCTCAGAGAATTCCAATGCCAGTTTCCGGTTGTGAAATGCTGCGAATGTCATCCACATAACGCCTATAGAATGGGGGGCTCCATACATTCTTATGGTAGTGTAGTGTGAACTTGAGGCGCGTAAGAATATTCTTGCTGATTCTCTACCCCCAGTATAAATTCTAGCTTCGTTTTCGTTCTTGCTCATTCCCATGTACCTACTGATGAAAATGGGTGAAAAGCTTTTAGTGTTATGAAACTGACAATCTTGTTGTTGTGTGTATATATATATGAGCCGCGCTAAAAAGCTAAAGCTAAAAAGCTAAAAAGTGGCTTAGCGTTTTGCCAACAAATCGAGAAAATCACCAAAACGTCACAGTCGGCAAAATTCTACTCGAGCGCAGTCGCGAAAATATTCACTTTCGAGCATCCTTTCAAGTTCAAGTAAATAGTTTGCAAGTGGAGAAGAAGGAAGAGGCCTTTTATTTTTGAGCAACACTTCTTCAGTGTTCCCTCTTTCATCGTTGAGTGGATTTCTCGGCGCTGCCAGAGATCGCAATGGAGCGTTCTTGAGAATGCGGAGGCGAGCTGGATGACACTCTGTCTCCGTGTGCGCCCAACCCTAGTTCACGAGGAAAACTCGCTCATTCATAGTGGCTATGGTTCTCATCGTGGCCACGACTAGTCTAGAGCGTCTGGTATACCTATGTGGAGACGTCTACAAGCCGTCCGGCCATCACTCTGACAAGCTCCCTAGTGAGTTGGATCTTGCTGCGATGTTTCACTTTGTTTCGGGTGCCTTCAAATGTTCATGACGTGGCGTACTGTACTCCAAAATTTCCTCATTTCAAGGACAATAGTGCGACACCGCGAAACGATGCATTGACTCTACCTGCTAGCATATCGTCCTGTGGTGCTTATACCACTACCTACACCAGGGAAGGAGAATGACATGGACTAGGACGGACAAAGAATCAGTGCCGCCTTTTAGCGATGTGCAGTCTGTTGGACCTACGTGCAAGGGACCAATGGAGCTCGATCTCTGGCACAACACTACGAGCTACAGGGAAGGATAAATTCATGTTGGCGTAGGTGATTGGAGAGAGGATGACGGACTGCCTTGGTAAGATGCGACGTTTCCCAGCCCAGCGAAAAATATAGTCACAGACTCACAAAATCATTGAAGGATATGAAAATTCGTGTTGCGTGATGAAATGACATTAGATGAATAGATCAATTATTTCTTCTTTCTTGGATCTTCTAATCAGAACACAAGTGCTCGTTCCTCTTGTATTGATTCCACACCTGCTAAGCTCTGTCTCCACTTGGTGTCCCATGTTTTCTGGAGTAGGTCTTCATAATTATTATCTTAGTTTCATTGATACCAGGCATTCTGTGACATGTGGGCAATGTATGCTTATTTATGGCACATATACATTTCAGATGGGCACCAAAATTTCCTTGATGGAAGTTGGATAGGTAGACATCGCTTTGGCATGAAAAAAGAAATTTCCAAAATTTATGCCTAAGCCACCTTTTTGCTTGGCTCGGCTCATATATATATATATATGAGTATTTCGCTCCTGCTCTTGTAGCAGTTGAGCACTCTTGCGTGGGGTAGTGCCTTTGCTGTTTGCGTTATGCAGAGCTCACTGACTTGTCAGTTTGAGCACTCTGGCAAGGTACGCTCGGGCCTGATTGGAAATTTTTATTTCCATTGCTATCAGGTTCGGCCTCATTTCCTCTGTGCTGCGCTGACGAGTCCACAAAGGACGAAACAGTTCTGTCCGCAGATTGAGTATATATATATATATATATAGAACAATAGAAGTATTTCTTGCGTCGGCAAAAAAGTGCTCAATGTCCTAAGACAGAGCGGGGTTTTACAATCGGACACAAAGGATCTCCAAGTTTCTCAGTGTTGCTACTCTGAGTTTCGTGCAAAAGCACTCTTCAGGCAACTTACTCTTCTCTCACATCAGTATCCCTTTACATACCAGAAAAGACGAAAAGAAGCACCCTAGGTGGGAATCACAGGTGGAGAAAAGAAGCACGCTAGCCAGTCTAGGTGGGAATCACAGGTGAAGATAAGTGTGGCAAACCGTTCAAACTCCGGTTCAACAACCACACGTCATCGTTCCAGAATGCCCCACACAGAAACAGCACAGAATTGTCAAAGCGTGCATGGGCATTGAAGGAGGAAGGTAAAGACGTCAATATCTCGTGGAGAATCAGGCAGAGATACAGCGCCTACAAAAGAACCTCGAAGCGGTGCAACCTATGCCTATCGGAGAAGATCGCCATAATGAAGAGTGACAAGGCATCGCTCCTCAACACCAGATGCAGCCTGGTCACAAAATGTCGCCACAGCACCAAGTAGCTCCTATCGGAGGTGACCTGAACTG